GGCTCTATTATAGCATTACACTCTACCTTTTTAAATTTTACCACCTTCTCCTTAATTTTGTATTAACTGGCAGTTGGCATTGCCCAGGTAAAGTTGCAAGCCTAACTACTGTAGGATGAACCCAACCTAGCCCATGCACAGATGCCCCCTCCCCTAAAAAAGAGGGGGTGTCTGTACACAGGAAAGGTCCAAACTGGCCTAAACTAACTGAAGGTGACAGGAACTTGGCCTGATATTAAGAGACTTGCTTAAAACATGTAGCACCCAACTCGTTGACACAGTCATGAGTTAACACAGTTTAGTTGTATGCTTAGAACATACTAAAATCTTACCAATCCTTTTGTCATATTTAATCACTTCAATTTTGACCTTTCCTTTAAGGAAACGCCACTGTTGCTCGTCTTACCAACGATTCAGAGCTGAGCAAAGTCAAGTCCGCTGCAAAGGCCTTAAACTATGCATATGACAGGCTCCCTGAAGAGAGGCGTGAAACCTTATTAAACTGTGTTAAGAATTACTTCAATGTTCAGATTGTTACCCCAGAAATGATCTCCCAAGCTGTGGTCATGGAAACAGCAAAGGAAAATCCCAATTTTGTGTCTCATGGACATGAAGTGGTGAGAAAGATTCGCGAGGAAGGAAAATTGCTCGAGTTTGAGAAAATGTGGCGGAAACACTTTATTGATACCATGCGCCCGAAGTACCTTCCGCCTTTGTGGTCAGTAGACCATCGTCACGAAACATTAAAGGAAAAACTTGAGAACAAAGTGGACAGCTGAATCGGTTCCTAAATTTTAAAATACATTAACAAGACAGACGTTAAAATTAACGCGACTTTTCTTTTTATTAGTTTAACAGAGAGTTCTTCTAAGAGAACAGAAAGATATCAGAAATGTTACAAGATATCGGTTTGCATAATTGTCAATTATTCGAACGATTGTTAGAACGAAACAAACCTTAAATGAATGTAGTTCATTTTGGCTAAGAATACTAGAACGCTAAAGGTGTGGGGTAAAAGAATAAAATTATGTATTTTGCAAAGTAGTTTTTGCTTTTTTGCTTTTTTAAAGAAAATGAAAAGAAGTAAAAAAATTGCTGGTTTGTTCACAAGACGAATAAGATGGTAAAAATAAACGAGGCTGTTATGAATTTTGAAATCCTCGAGGTGATTCGTGTGGACTGCATTACGCCTCCCAATAAATAGTTTCACTTGTTCGGGGTCAAAAAGTTGCAGTACATAAGTACCGGCTTAGTCACGTGACCGTCTTTCCATAGCTGAGTACTGAATAATGGCAAAATGTATTTACGGGTAAAATGTTGTTTAACAATTTCTGTTTATAAAGTATGTACGTAGTAATGTCTTCAGAACATGCCAGGTTCGCCTCTCCAAAGTAGCTATAACAAACAAAAGTGGCTATCAGTTAGAAAAATGAAGTATATAAATGAACGTTAAACAGGACATTTTTAAACGTAACGCTTTATATTGTACATCATTTAGAACCAAACCGGTCCACAAAAAGCAAAAGATACGGTCACTTGTTATGTAGATTGAAAAAACGCTGTACATTGATCTTTTGTGTTTTCGAACATGGCGAGTGAGACGCTACAAAACCGTTTTTATCTCGCCTCACCTGACGCTCGCAGGGGTGTGTAAGTATGGCACGCCCCTTTACGTGAGGGTGAATTTTACGCCGGTGCTTCTCTCCTTACGAGCAGAAGTTTTGAGGAAAACCCACTTTTTGCGGTCTTTAACTTTTTTTACTGGAGCGAAGTTATTAATTTGAAAAGTTCGCTCACCTCATTTTCAATCATAGTTTCTGGTTCTTCGTTATCATCAAAAACAAGGAGGCCAGACAGACCACTGCAATTGAAGGAAAAAACACGTGAGATTCTGCCATTAAATGTTGGATAGATCTTCTTTCAGAGCGTGAACAAGTCAAATATTGCAACATTAAAAAAAGTGTTCAAAAATAAGTTTATTGCAAAAGTGGAAGGCCACATAATTCTATGGCACCTGGTAAGCTCGTCAATGTCATCTTGACTTGCCAAAGCCTCCAACTCTGCTGGATGATCATTAGTGGATTCATTTTCAGCTAACTGTTCTGATTCCTTAAGAAGCTTCTCCAGTACTTCACCGTAGTACTTAATGGGACCACCAGATGAACTTTGAGCTTGAATCATCTACAATTATTAAGATAGCAATATCAAAATTAGCTGCCAATAGAGGATAAAGCAAGGGTAAGAAAGGTATAATATGAGCCTTATTTACGTGTAGTACAAAAACACTTGCATGGCGAGCAAACGGTTTGGAGTTGGTTTGAAAACGTTTTTAACTTTTGAGATCCTTATTAAAAGGCGTTTTAGATATCCCAGGATAAAACCAAAATTTGTCGTAAAGATTGTTCATATAATTGCTTTTTAGCTCACTAGCCGCTACGTGGGTAAATAAACGATTGACTGATTGATGACAGTGGATCGGAGTATTAACAGCAACCGTAAAAACTCATTCATTATGTAAACGAAGGAACCCATCCTTTTTTTTCCCGCAAAAGGAAGCACAACACAACCTCGGCTACTATTTCCGGTGGCAGTGATCGCTTTTCTCTTTCTTTGTCCACAATGAGCTCCTTTGCCACACCTATCTCTTCCAACAATGAAGGTCTCCGCTTTCCTGTCGACGCAAACTGTTCCTTAACCGCACGGCATTTCTCCTTGGATCTTTCAACACTCTGTTTATAATCCCACTCTGGAGTGACAACCAAACGAGCAATTACCAACTCATCTGCAAAGGACACCCGACGACCGTTTGGAACCGAATCAGGTTCTGTGCCGCAGCAGTGCTTTATGACACGGCGCCTCTCAGATGCCTTTGTTTCAAAGTGTCTGTTCTTGCTATGCCCATCAATAATGTTCTTGGCTATCCATAAGCTATCAACAAGTGAATCCCTTCTTTCAGAAGTCTGCCTTTTTATAATCTTTCTCCTTTCCGCATTCCGGGAGTCACGCCTCCTATCTTCCGCAATAATCTCATCTGGTGACCGCTGATTTGGAGACACCTTTGGTCGGGTGATATTTGGCTGTTTATGGGCAGCTACAGCAAAAGAAATAGACGGATGTTACGATTCCGGCTGGCATGAAACTGTATGCTTAAGCGAGGACCGATGAAATAAAAAATAAAATTTTAGTAATGTACCTGCAAGCATTTTCGTCCTTGCTTTTCGTCCTTTTGGTGGAGGGAATGGGGGAGGGGCGGGTGGCACTGCGGGAACAGTGTCATATTCTGTAGGATAACTTGGGTTGACTCTAACACTCGACAAGTCATCATTGTACCATCCTGACGCAGAGTCCTCTTGATTCATCCAGTGGCACATAGTTGCATAATATTTTCTAACAGGCCTTAAACAAAGACAACAGGAAATGAACAATATACCTCATTGGGAGTGGC